AAACAATATGTTTTTCCCTAGCCTTATTCCCAGAAATGGCTGAACCATTTTGGCTGAAATTAAAAAAAAAAACAAAAACGAACAGTCTGAGGCTGCATAGAAAATTTCAGCCCGAATGGTGTGCAAAGTTATAAATAACTGAAAACAAGGTCTTATAATGGGAAATGTCAGGCAATCTCAATAGGTCTGGTGCCAGCTCAGCCTGTAATATTAAATTCAGAATATTTATCAGTTCACTAGCCAGTTTCTTTCTATGCCTCTCTGTTGCTAGCTGCATTGCTAGCTACAATATTTTCATTTAGTTGTTATTGGCAAATGGGCTTAAGCCCAAGAAAGTAAAAGTTCTTACCTGTTACTACTTTTTCCTCACATAAGGACTATTTGCTGCTCTCACCCATTCTATGATATTTTTTGAGGTGAAATAGATCTGCATTAACATTCACGTTCCTGCAAATTCAATTTTAACACATTTATGTTGGAATTAGACTTCACTCTGGAATGTTCTTTTATTAAGTAATCATTGGAGTTTTGGAATTAGCCATCTGTTGGGAAGATGAAGGGGGTGTGTCTGCTGACATTGCCCTGATTGATAGCTCTGCTTCAGTTGCCTCTGTAGCATGAAGAATACTAATGAATTCTAGGGTTGCAAGTGCCTCAAAATAGAGGTTTTGAATGGAAATGCTATCTCAATCATAGCTGTAGCATTGCTTTTGTTGGACTAGAATGAAAACTGTTGGTTTTTACTCAAGGGGTGCAATATCCATAGGAATTGCCATACTGGTTCAGATATGAGGTCCAGTATTCCGTCTCTGACGTTGGCCAGTGTCATATGCTTTAAAGCAGCAGTTCTCAAACTTTATTGTTTCACATATCATCTTAAAAAAGTGAATGGATGGAACTTGAAGTTCATGTACCATAGTACATGTACTGCAGTTAGGGAGTCCTTGCTTGAGGGAGGTGCAAGAACCCTGCAGTCGGCAGGTGGGACATAATCACACCACATTAGATCTCATCCTGATATATAATAGAGATTTGCCGAAGCCCCATAGTGGTTTAATATACTTTCCCATATTATCTTAAACTGTTATGGATAACAAGAATGTCTAGAGTCATAAAATATCCAGTGCTTTTTTAAATCTTACTAAGTTCTTGCGGTGACAATCAATTCCACAGTCCCATTGTTTGGAGAAAGTGTTTCCTTTTAGCAGTTTTGAATTTGCTACCTTTTTAATTTTATTGAATGTCCCCTTGTTTTGTATTATGAGACAGGCTGAACACAGAAGCGCCTCATCTGCTTTCTCTATTCAGTTCATTATTGTGTATATGTCTATCCTGCCTCCTTTTTTTTTCCTATGGGATTTATTTACCTATCTTTTCATTGATTCAGTGATCATATGACGTAACATTCTTGTAGCCCTTCTTCCGAACCCCAACCCTTTACTTTTAAAGCCGCACATCCAAATACAACCTCAGTGCACCTTGTGAATAACTCTAGCATTTTAATATCATGCCACTTTTAATTTTATTTTACTTTCAGTTACTATAGATAGTTTTCAAGCATCTCAAGGGAGCCCAGCTTTAACCAAGGAACTGTGGTTTAGCATTGTTACAGCAGAATTAGCATTGATCATGTTGAATCAGTGTCATTGGAGAATGTTTTACTTCACTATTTTAAAAAAAACACTCAAGCTCCACTCCAGCTTTCCTAAATGTTATTTCTAGCATGCTTGATTTTCCTTTCCTCTCCATAATATCAGTAAATTGATGTTTAATATAGATAACGAAAGACTTAAAATGCACTTTTTCCTCATGGTGCACACTTTTGTCTTTGTAGTTGAGTGTAAACAAATTACTCTAATTTCATTTATTATATTGTTGAGCTAGTTCAGAACTGAACTCTTTTTCAGAATACTTTCAGTTCATCACGACAACAGTTTATTAGGAAGTTTTAGTGTAAGGAACAAACAAATCTCAATCTTGCTTGGTAGAAAAGCCGTGCCTGGTTAAAGCTGTTGATCTGACTTACTCTTAGTGGTATTTCTTCTAATGGAAAAAACATCAGAGAGCTCTTACATTCTCTTACTCAGCGTTCAAGTTTTTTTTTTTTTTTAAAACATCTTTAAAAAAGCCCTCCTTGAATACTGGTATGATTTCTGTCAAAAAGAAAACGTAACACCTCCCTCTCTCCCCCTCACCGAATTCTTCTTTGATTAAGTTGAAATACCTTTAAAATTTTATAATGCTAGAGTACATTGCATCAGATCTTGCACTGCACTTTCAGAGTCAGTACCACTGAAGGGAAACCAGTGTTCTTAAGGCAGTTCATTAAAATGGAATCCTGACAGTGAACTCACTTGTTTAAATGTACCTTGAGCAAAATGCTTTTGTAGAAACAAACGGAGGTAGCAAAGTAGATTTTCTTGGAAAAGGGCAGACAGTTGTTATAGCAGATGAAAAGATCTATCTTCTGTAATTTGCTGTATTTTTACTATGCTATGAATTTTCAACAGAATGGTGCAATTAAGATTTCCCTTAATGTTGACTTGTGAAATTGTAAACATGCCATATTTACAAGTCAGCATGGAGAAGAAATTAGTTATTGGAATTGGACTATATACAGCAGTGTAACCTGTTAATGTGAACTTGAGCAATCACTTTAAAGAAAGCGATTTTAATCTAGTTCTGTTTTGGAAAAGTACATAACAAGCTTATTACTTTAAAAAGCCAGTTAATCACAATTACAAATTTACAACTCTTTGCTAGTGTCAAGATGTAGCCTAAACTTCCTTAGAATAACTTTGCTTCCACTTTCAGGATCTTGTTTTTCTTATCTGGAACGTTTGACCTAAAATCCCCTATACTTTTCCACTAATTAAAAAAAAAAAGTCTATAATTTATTTTGGAGTTTTTTGTAATTGCCCGTTCTGAACTATGGATGCCAAATAAAGCAAATAATTTGTAGGTCACGAACCTGTAACAGACTTAGACCCCGATCCTGCTGACTTTCCACACAAATAATAAAGTAGTCAGCAAAGCCATCATATCTGCATCCCATCAAACATGTCTTCCCTAGAGGCCTGAACAAAGTAGACTTTCAGTGCCTCCCCTGAAGGGTCCTTATTTTCACAGAAGTTTTATACTTTCCTATTCTGCCCCTTCTTTCTTTGTTATTTCTACCATAAAGTAATCTATTTTTATTTGGATTAAAGTTTGTATCAGAGAGTTATTGTGTTCAGAATGAAATACTTCAATTAACCGTTTATTTTTCTGGATTTTTTGGATGTACATCTAGTACAGTAAATGACAGATTGCCGTTTGCTGCAGGATATTATGGAGGAACAACACTCGCTTCAATTCTAAAGATTACTAAATAGAATAGCATTTTAATGTTGCAGTCATGCTCTTCTTTGTACTTTATTTTTTAATACTTTCATATCTTAAAGTAAGTTAATTTTCAAAAATGGTATTATACATACATTCAAATGGACAAAACATATTTTTTCTAAGATTTATTAAATATACAGTACAAATAAATGTCCTGTTTTGTTTCCTTTTTTATATTTGTGCAAAATAAAGTTTGTATAATGTAAATCTATTAAATATCTACAGTTTTATTCCAAAACTCAATATGAAATGAAAGGAGCGGAGGGGAAGGAGACAATTACAATTCAGAGAGGGATGAGAATTGTAAGAGATTAAATATCTTTTCTTGAATCTTCCACTTAAAGTATATTCAGCTAGAGGGAAATGTTACCAGTGTGGCCTACAACTGTTTGAAATCAGACCAGCATGTCTCCATGCATCTTTCTCTAATGTGTGAAACTGTGTAGCATTAACATATCCTAGTAGAGGAGAACTGTTGCTTTTTTATATATATATCTGCTTTGTTTATCTCTTCATATTAGCTGTATTGCACATTATTTTTCATAGGTCACTGAAGCTAAACACCAATAATAAAATATTGAACCTCACTCTGTTGGTTGAACTGCTTGGAAGTACAAAAATAAAATGTTGTGTATGTTGTCCCTTTTCTCATTCAGTCTTTCTCACTGTTTGCATTCTCTAGTTTGTCAAGGTGAGAGTGGATTCAGTCATGTCTTGAAGATATTTAAGTCTAAACTAGTAAAGTGTGGAGCCTACTAAAACAACTACTAGTTAAAATACACATTTTCTGTGCAAATAGTAACTACATTTTAGTAAAGTAGATATTTAGTGGAGGGCAAACGTTTTTAGTCACACATACTTTTATTATTGCAGATAATGGAAAGCAATAGAAACTCACCTTTGTGTTTTTAAAAAAAACAAAACAAAAAATCCTT